CAGGAAGGTTATCTGACTGGGAAATTTTGCCCAGTTACAACGCGTCAACCGTCCTTCTGATCATTGCCTTTTAAAGAGCGATTTACTCGCGAAGTGACAGGCAGTGATGAGACAACGCGTTGCTCAGATATCCAAACGAAACTTCCGGAACAGCGGGCTCGGGCCTTAACTCTCCAAAATCGCAACAAGTTCAGAACAATTTCCCGTCGTTTCACACAAAATATACCACATCGATCGTCCTTCGAAACGTTAGCTCCGAGGGTGGTCGTCACCAGCTTGCACACTTCGAAATCGGGCTCGAGCGCGTACACCTTGGTTAAACTCATAGTGTAATGCTCCACAATTAAGTTGAGATACAGGAAGCCATTCTGGATCGTCATAACACTTCCATTTGACAAGGTACTCCGGACGCATTTTAGATGTTCGAGTTTTCTTAGACCATCGAAGATCCAAAATCTTCTCAACCTCGTACTCATCCTTTTGGGCATCGGCTTCCCAACTATCTTCTGGGAGTAGCGCAGCATCAAAATCATCTTCTTCATCCCCATCCACAGTAACTGTCGGTCTTTTGGGAAACAAGGCTCGTGGTTTCAGACGACTGATATGAACCCACGGATTGACTCCGTAACCGGTACTATCAACTTTCAGCTTCACCCTAAAATCATCTAACACTTCATCAATTCGAAAAGGCCCATGCTATAAGTGCGCCAACTTCTTACTTAGTCCAGTCTGCGCTTTTGGGATATATAACCATACAACGTCCCCTATCTGAAATCCTGATTTCAGGCGTTCGGATAACTCCTTCCATTTTTGCGTTTGGAGGTCGGAGCGATATCGTCGGGCTTTGTTCTGCAAGTCCTCGGCACACGCTTTCTCATAGCCATAATCTCTCTGAACGTTTCGTCTCCACTCATCGGCAGTCTTTTCAGGCACACTGGATGGAGTCGGACCCAACATTGCTTTCAGAGTGCTTTGTGGATCCCAACCGTGGATCAAGTAGAATGGGGTATCTGAACATGTCGCGTCAAACAAAGTGTTCAGAGTAAACATCAACCTTTCCGCATGGTCGTCCCAGTCGCTCTGGTCGGCCTGCTCAACATAGGCGCGAATACTCCTAACAACCGTTTGGACAGATCGTTCCTGTTGCCCGTTTGCTTGGGGTCGGTATCCCAAAGTGGCTCTCTGACGGCTAGTCAAGAGTTCCCGAAAACGGGGAAACACCTCGCTCGTGAAACGGAGATCTTGATCATGCCGAATCATTGAACTTGCTCCGAAGTTCCTGAATACACGTTCCTCGTAGGCTTCCGCGACATCCTGAGCGGTTGTTGAATCCATCGGTTTGCACATTACGTATCCCGAAAACATATCTTGGAACAGTAGCAAAAACGTGTTCCCTCGATCGGATTTCGGTATGTGCGTCACGAAGTCCATCGCCATGACTTCAAAAGGTTGTCGGGTTCGATATCCCCGGCGATGGTCCAGCATTTGGAGGTTTTCCTTTTCCTTTCGCGCAATCAACGCACTCTTTCACAAAGTGTTCTACATGCGCGTACATGCCAAGCCAATAGAATTCTGAACATAACTTCCTATGGGTCCTGGTGATGCCTTGGTGACCTCCATGGAAACCTTCGTGACCGTAATGTAAGATATCATCCCGTAATGTAAGATATCGTCCCGGAGCGCGTTTAGAACGACGAGTCGAGGTTCATCCTGAAAGCCACGCGTCGAACGAGCTAATCGATACAACACGTCTCGAGTGTCAAGCACGAATAGGTCAGCATCTTTGGCAACCTTTCTCAACCTTCTGGGCGAAAACTTCTGGAACTCCTCCTTCAGAAAGTCCTTGATTTCTGACAGGTACTCATCCGCGTTCTGTGCATTCGAATACGTCGCCATCGTTCAGCTTGGAATTCCAAAGGGTCCAGAGGTCGGTTCCTCGGAGTGGATTCGGCCCGACTTCTGGAACGCGTTACTGCTGCAACCACGCGGGCCGATTTTGTCAATGGAGCTGACTCCGCAGCATGCTGTTCGACGTTTCCTGACAGTGTTTCCCCAGAAGTTGGATCAACTCCAGATTTTAACTCGGAGTCTTCCGCCTTCATGAGTTTCTCTGCGATCTTTTACACGTGTTCCAAATGTGCAATCTCCGCCGGATCCGTAACTCCCCACGACTCATCCAGACTCAAAGTCTTCGTGGTCAAATAATCAGCAGCCAGATTGTACTCCCGCTTCAGATGTATCAGACGTAACGATCCGAACTTCTCTTTCAGTAGTTCAACTTTGGCAAAATGCTTTTTGAGATGTGGTTGATTGCAGTTGATCAGTCGTTGAACCTGTTGAAGAACAATTCGAGAATTTCTAACTGCGACCAAAGCCTGCAACCTCATTTCAATAGCCATCTCTAGCCCTTTGAGAAGGCCATGGTACTCGGCATCGTTTACCGTGACATTCTCTAAAAGGAAACCCTTCGCTTTCAGAACCTTCCAACCGGGTAGCTGCTACAACACACACCCACAGCTTCCTTTCTTGGTGGAGAGCTTTGCGGCAGCGTCGAAACTCAGAACGACTCCTTGGAAATCGCTTCCCAACATCTCAACGCTAACTACTGGGTGCCTTCGAACATATCCCTTCAGAGGGATCAATGTTTCGACGGCCTCATCCAAATGTTCTCGTGGTGTGATCCCTGCACCCATGATAGCCGCGAGTCCATCTTCAACCTTTTGGACTTTCCGGATTTCGATATCCCAATGTGAAAGTGTGACTCCCCAAGGAACACATCTCCCGTCTGCTGACTTAGACTGTAACACCCATTTCAGAACAGAATATCTCGCGTAGATTATCAGTTGTCGGCCTTCCAGAATCGTCCAAACGACTTGCAACGTCTTCAGAATAGCAATTACCTCCTTCTCGGCAATGTGGTACCGGAGCTCGGCATCGTTCAGAACGCGTCCCGTGTACCGAACAAATTGTATCCTCCCGTTGTATTCTTGTCCTATGACTGCACCAGCAACCCAACGATTTGCGTGCGGAATAACCACAAATGGCTTTTGGATGTCCGGGTGTCTTAACATTGGTGTCGCAACGATTTTCCTTTTGAGCAGTTCGAAAGATTCATGAGCTCGTGAAATGTCTCGTCCCTGACGCATCTGGTCTTCTGAAAGTTCATAAAGAACTGCTGCCACTACCAGAAAGTCCTCTATGAACTTATGGTAGTAGTTTAGACTTCCGAGAAACGATAACACACCTTTGTGGGATTTGGGAAACGGTAGATCCATAACACCCTTCGGAACCTTCGGGGTCGCTCGGATACCTTCTGCACTAATTTCGAGTGACAAATAGGGGATCGACCGCTTTCCAATCTCGCTCTTTGGTAAACTCACTGATATATTCCAGTAACGCAAACGATATAGCAAGGCGTCCAGATCATCACAAAGTTGGTTCCACGTTTTCGCCCCATGGGCAATATCATCGATATAAGTGCTGCGTCCTAACACTGGACCAATATGTGAAGGCATGGGAATATTCCTTTGAAAAACAGTCATTGAGTCTGTGAGTTCTTTCACCTCATCTTTTGGACGGTTACTTTTGGACTCTTGGTTGTCTGTAGGGTCCAGCCCAGAAAGTCTAAGACGTCTTGGTCGACTTCTGCTTCTTCTTCCGGAGGCAGTCTCACAAATCCCCACAGACAATTGTTGATAACTGACTGGTATATCAGTGGCGCATTCTTGAGTCCGAATGGCATGCAGGTCCATTGGAAGTGTTCAAACGGACAGACGAACGCCGATATCAGTTTTGCTCGTTCAGACTTCTTGACCGCCCAAAAGCCACTCGTCATATCCAAGCTCATAAACCACATGGCATCCTCAAACCCATCCAGCAGATCATCTATCAACGGTAGAGGGTAATTGGACAACGTATTGAAACCATTGACAACTCGGTAGTCGACACACATTCGGATATCAACACCATTTTCTTGAGGACAATCACAATGGGTGACGCCCATGATGATTCTGAATGCTCAATGAGTCGGATTTCCAAACGTTTCTTCAGCAACTCATACACTTTGATTAATAAGTGTGGTGCAACAGATCGGGGACGTTGAGCGACGGGATTCGCCTCTCCGACATCCAAATCACAGGTCACACCTCGTGCCGGAACTGAAACCGCATTCCCATCTCCTCGAAAGATGGCTCGATGGTACTTCAGGATTGTTCGCAATTTTCGTTCATCTTCGGGAGTACTCGTCCCGGATTCACCAACGTCAGCCGAATCAATATCCCATTTCGGGGATAGTTCTCCGATATCCGGAAGCAAGGCAAGTTGTTCCCGGAGTTGTGATAACGTTTCACTCCCTTCATGAATATAGGCTGCGGGCTCGAGGTCCAGTTCTTCAGCACTTATTTGCATGACACGTTCGTACTCTAGCTCGAGCTGCTGAACTGGCGTACAAGCCATTACCAACACCGGCAGGTCCGAAAAGACATCATCCTCGGGTTCCACGTTTGGAATGTCCCCCAAATTGACTTCTGGAAAACCATCGTCGACACTAATTGAGTCGAAGAACTCATCTTCGTATCTTCGTCCGAGTCCTGGTCATCCGGTACTTCTTCAGACTCGCTTATTGGCACCGCCGTTATTCCATCTTCAACTTCCGTAATCACGCTCCCTTCAGGCATTGTCGTAGTCATTCTCGACATCCTCATTGACAACCCCTGACCTACTTCAGGTGTTTCATCATACACTTCACTTGGGAGTATCTGAAGGTTGATCACTCTCGCTTCCTCGCAACCAGGCGGTGGACGAGCCATCATCTTTGCCGGCCACGGGCAGTTCGGCGTTTGGACGGCCGGCGGTTCCATCTTCAGAAGGTCGTCTAGGCGTTGTGACTCTCGAGCCTAGGCTTTGGCAGATATAGTATTCTCATAAATGAGAGTCTCCCATTCCCGGTATCTTCGAGTACCAACGCGCACATAGCGTCCCGCTCTCGGAAAGAATCCATTCTTGACAACTTGGGCAACTTCGGTCCGCCAGTCGATAGACTCGTTGGTGAAGGTGTTTGAACTCCTGAAGAAGTTGTTGGAGGCAGAGCTCATTGAGCATTCAAAGTCCGAATGGTCATCACCTATTGTGATTGTGCTGAAGAAAAACGGCATAGACATCCGAATGTGTATTGACTACCGACTTCTGAATCTGCTCATAAAGCTATCTCGCTACCCTCTACCCTTGATCGATGACCTGCTGGTAGACTTCAAGTCTGCAATGTGGTTTATGAGTCTCGACATGGCGAGTGGATTCTGGGCGGTGCGAATGACTGAGTGGGCGAAGCTGATCTCTGCATGTGTCTGTCCGTTCGGCCATTTTCAATGGCTCAGAATGCCCTTTGGATTGAAGAATGCACCGTTAATTTATCCGAGCATCATCAATAACTGTCTGTGGGGATTCGTCCGTCTGCCTCCTGAAGAGGAAGCGTTGGTTGACCAAGAAGTTCTGGAGTTTTTGAATCTTGAGCCGCAAGAGGTCCTGAAACCTGAGGTAGACATGCGGGATTCAGAGATCACGGCATTGGACATGACTGTATTTCGACGCAATATCCCGGCTCCGTCACAAATGGGCCCGGTCTT